TGGTGTTCAAACGGAAATGCTTCTTGTTTTGTATGTATTATATTGCTGTTTATTAGAGATATTATATTTTAGAAGTAATGTAGGCAACAATAAGGTATTTAAAAAAGACAGAATATTGTATGAATATTACTTTAAAATACCTTTTTTTACAAGAAAGTAAGAGAGGTTTTAAAAATCTTAATAGCCATTCATTTTTAGGTAAGATTTATAATTAATACAGTACCATTATATTAGTAGAAAATACTAAGAAAGAGAGTGAAATTGAATGGAAATATTGATAATCATATACTGATGATTGCTAGTAAATGTTACTTCATTTATACTCTTTAGAATAACTAATATATTCAACTAAAATTTACTTAAGAATTTCCCTTGTGAATTTTACTTGGAATTTCTGAGTGAAAAAACTTTCCTAGATTTTTTCAAGTAAATACCACTCCAAATTTTTATCAGTGTAGTCTGTATTTTCCTTCATTTGTTGAGTCGTCTTCTCATCAGCCTGCGGTCTGATTCAGATTTTAATATCCCAGTGGCAACATTTCATCAGCCACAACAGGCTAGGTTAGCTGCATGAAAAAAGCATAAAATCATAAGGCCTCTTTGTGTTTGTGTTTTTTTCATCTTTGTGAAAAAGTAACTCAATGAAGGATCAGAGTGATGTATCACTAAAAATCCTGTTCATTAAACATTCTGGTCAACATGTCAGCTACTTCCATCAAGCCTGAGTCTCAGCTGAGTAAGCAGAGTACATAAATCTCATAATTATTTCTGAATGTGCCCGAAAGGTCCAAACATGCAGCTCTGACCCTGTAAACTGCTTGGTCCGTGTCCAAATGACGTCTCCTGTTCCTCTCTGCTTCCACGCCGAGGTCAGAGGAGAGAGCAGCAGCATGAAATGAATCCGCTCTACATGGTTCCACTTTATTACAGCTGACAGCTTCATGAAGCGAGGTGGGCTGCCTGGTGCTGCCGACGAGTGATGAATACGAACTGAAAACATTTCCGAAACTTCAGGTGTTAAAGTTTCAAATTGGGCTTTCCACGAGTATTTCCTCTTTCCCTCTTAACTGTAGAAACAATTGACCGGGCTTCATTTTTGAGTCGAGAAAATGTTAAGTGACAGTCCTGCTGAATTATTCATGCACTCTTAAATATGTTTTTCCGCTCAAAGCAAGGCCGTAGAAAAGTTTTAGGTTTCTGTTTGAACCGGCGGTACTCTGATGAAACCTGGTGCAGGATGTTTGAGCTCCAGAGTTTTTAGTTTTCTTGGTTCAAAGAAAAGTTACGGGTTGTGTTGTTCGGCCCGTTCCGTCCACCTGAGGTGTGGTCTCGTCACTTTTTATTACAGTCAAGTTAACGCTCCATGACAGTTCATGAGGAGAATCAATTATTGAGCTCCGCAGGTCGTCACATCATTTTTATGTTACAGTTCTCAGAGCTCAGAGTTAATGCTGTGCAGGAAGACATGTGGTAGAGTCAAACATCTTCCACTCATTTAAAAACACGTCTGGGGTTTAGAACGAATAAAAGCAGAAAAACTGCAGTTGCAGAGAATCACAGGAGATATCTTAAATAACATCTAAATTGTGTCAAATTCAAGGCCTGCAGGTGACTTCTGTTATTATTTTTAATCTAATTTAATGAGAAAATAATTTTTATTTCAGTGATAAACTTTCAATTTACGATTTAATGCAACAAAATAAACACAATTAAAAGATGAAGGCTAATACTGACGTGTTAAACACAGTTTCTATGCAGGAAACACCACATGGTACTCAGTTATTGTTTGTTAGTGGTGCTCAGTGGGAGCAGTGTGACGAGGAACGTGATGTTTTCTGTTTAGTTGAAGACTATGGTGGCCCTTTGAGGGCTCAGGTGGTCCTCGGTGGAAATAAACTGGACAGCCCTGATCTAAATCTTTTACTTAACAAATCATAACCAACTAAAACAAACATTTTCTTAAACTGCATATAATCTACAAATCACAATTTTGCAGCAGCTACAACTTTGTCATTTCTCAGCTTAAGATGATCCCTATCTAAAAATTTGGCTCGAAAGGTGATGTCGTGCATTTCTTCAAGCAATGCTAGGCCTTTAATTAAGTCAAGTGTTTCAATAAATAGATTTATTTATTTTGTCTTCTACTGGTTAAAAGTAACAAATTCCAGATTTAAATAAAATAAAGTGAAATGATTTTATGGATAAAAGACACATAGTTTTAACTTTAAATATTTTATTGAAAAATGAGCAGAAATATCATTAAAATACAGCCTCTTAGTTTACAAGCAGAGAGAAAACAAAGAAATTCATCATTTATTTATATAAAGAATATATGACACAGCTGCCTCGAAACAATAAATTCACATTGTTCTGGGTCCAAAGTTAAACTGATTTGTATAAATTTATCTAAACACTAAAGGAGAGAAACACTTAACGTGTATTTTGTCTTAATCCTAAACACAGCCTCACCTAAACAGTGTATTTATACCATGGTAAAAGTATCTGAGTATTTATTTGGTGAAGTTTAGTCTCATTAAATATTCTCTCCAGTGAAAAATCATAAAGCTGTTCTGAGGTGAGATTAACCCTTAAAGTCTGGTAATAAGACAAGATAAGTCATTAACAGAAACCATTATATTCATGTTCATTAATAAATGTCAAGTTAAATTTGAACAAAGTTTAAGTTTAGTGAGGATTTCCCAATAAAAAAAAGAAATATATGTATGATGATTTTGTAATGAACCCACACAATGAAAAAAAATACATTTATATGTATATATTTGCTTTTTATTTAGTTTATTCAACTATGATGATAGTTGGAGATTAATTCTGATTACAGTAATGAAACGTTAGTAACAGGATTATTGCACTGTTTGTTGCAAACTGATAAGTTTAGCATTCAGTCATGACATAAAACAAAGACCAGAAAATGTAAAAATCACACACAACCACCTGGATATCTGTAAAAAGGTTTGAGTCAAATCCAAACTACATGTTGCATTTGAGCAAAAATTGAAAAAAATAAAAATCAATTTGTTGTTGCACGTGTCCAGATTAAAAGCACACGCCGCTCGCTCGGATCTCACCAGATTTTATTTGATTATTTTCTGTTCTGTGTCGGCTCAGCGGCTCTGTGACACATCATCCATCACCTAAAATAAAACTCTTAAAGACTTGGATTTGTTCAGTGGGTTTTGAGCTGAAACGTTTCGGGTTTTCATGAAACCAATTACAGCTTTGGTTTTCAGTCGCAGCTGCCTGGAGTTAACAGCTATTTGAAATTATGACTTTTTTTTTGACTCAGACTTAAAAACATCTGATTGTGTTCAAATAAACATGAATTACAAAAAACAAACCAACACATTGTGCTTGACATATTACCCATGTTGTCACACTTTGAAGATGTTACTGAACAAGAAGCATGTTTTATGCAATTTAATAAAAAAACAATTACAAACTGAACTTTTATGAGGTTTAATACTGCATTTGTGAAACAACCTTCATTTAGTAGCTAATGCCTACTGTACATTTTATATAAAAATATTAGTAAGTTCAAAAATATATAGAAAATAATAATAAAAAACATTTAAAAAGACACATTTGATAATAAAG